CAGACTTACATGTCGAGTCTTTTATTCCATGTTTCTCTCATGTCTATTATTTACTGATTTTCATTCCTTACATACTCGGTACATTATTTGTACTGACGTCCCTTTTGCCTGGGGGCGCGATGTTTCATGCCCGCAGGTCCCGATAGACAGGTCGAGAGTCCTCCAAGTAGGCTATCGGCTCAGTAGAATATGTTGGTGCGCTCCATTTGCTCCGGAGTTGCTTGTTTGGTTAGTATAATTTAGACGTGTATTGTTTGGTATGGCGGGTCCCTGTCCTGACCTTTATGACAATTTTGTACTCTTAGAGGCTTATAGACATATTTCATGTATACAGATACTTGTATGACTTTGTAAGCCTATGTTTAGTGTACGAGTGATCATTTTGGTCTTGTAGGCCAGTATGTCATATGTATAAGTATGGATTACATGTTGGGGCATCCAATATCGAGTATTTACCCATAGTTTTATTCTGTTTATCTCACGACAACCTCTATGGATCATTTACCTATAATAGTATGATACGAAAGATATGTTACATAGGTACTCGGTTGAGTAAGGTACCGGGTGCCCATTGCGGCCCATCAGTTTGGGTCATGACAGGGGCATATTGTCACTCATGACACAAACTTTTGAAGGTCCAGTGGGAGGCTCGTTCACATGGTGAGACTCCTTTTCCGAGTAAGCAATATTAGGGTTCATTTTATGTTATTAAGTTCTCACTTGTTTCATTTCCTTTTGTAGGTTTGTCCAAAGATGTCACACTGAGGCCTTCATCTGGTGGTGAGGTCTTACCTACTGAGTCTCCTGCTTCGAGACGGGCCGAAGAGAAGAAAAGAAAAAGGTCTCCGAGCTCTCCAAGCTCGGAGAAGAAGAAAACAAAAAGAAAGTTGGTGCGCAAGCCTAGGGAAAGTACTAGTGCCTCGAGCACCACCCTCGGATTCACTCTACCAGCTGAGGGACGAATCCGAAGAAGAAGCCTCTAAACTGGTGGCCCGCTTGCGATCGCAGTTCAAGGGATAATGGGCCTCCGAACCAGAGAGAGGCGAGGCCGATCTACCGTAAGCCAGGGAGGCCGACAGGGAGTCCGTGGACAAGGCCAACGAGGAGGCCGCGACTGAGGCCTCCGGGGATATAGTTAATGCCCCGAAGGATACACTCGATGTGATAGACATCACCGAGTCGCCTTCATTCTGAGTCTATGTACAACGAGGCTCAGACGGTGAAAGAATGTCCTATCAAGGGGGACTAAGGAGTAGAAGACCCTTTCCGCGTCTTTTTTGATGGCGTGGATTCGGCCACCACGGAGGACATCACCGGATTGGGTGACCTGGCGGTACCGAGGAAGATTCCATCTTCTGGAATAAGCGAGACTTCCTCAAGTCCGAAACTAATCAACTGATTCGTAGCTCCAAGCGCCGATCCTGACTGGAAACGATCGACATCTCCATTTCGGAGGATGCCTGGGTCCTCTCTGCCCCCGTAGGAGTGACCAATTATCTTCGGTGTTTGGTGACCAAAGAAGACCAAGCCAAGATGATAGAGGTGGACGTGCCCTGCCTGTTCAACGAAGCACATGAGGCGTTAAACCGGGTAACTTCAGATACCTCTTGATGACTTCTAATTTGTACTTAGATTAATTTATATATAATCATAACTTTTTTTGTGTATGTAGGCTTCAGTGCTTCATCACGAGACTTTTCTCTGATATCGGGAAGAGCTAAACCAGTATGAGGTCGAGATTCGAGGGCTCATTGAGAAGAGGGATGCTTACAAACTTCTCAGCAAACAATGTGAAGGGGAGGGTAAGAGCATCCGAGCTGAGCTGGAGGCGGCTTGGAAGGAGCACGTCGACCTGGTGGAAAAGGTAAAAGTCTTTGAGGTTAGTGGCGATGAACTAGACTCAGTGACTAACGCTCTGAACCCGCAGGTCCAACAAAATCTTGATCTGATCGACCAACTTCGGGAAGAGATGGACGTGGTAAAGACCGAGGCCGAAGAATGAAAAAGTAAAATGGACCGCTTGGCCTCGGAAAAGGAAAATGCCTGGGTACAATTGGCTTCGGCTAAGGTCCAGCTTCGGGCGGCAAAGGAAAAGGTCATAGTGCAAGCCAAAAAGATAGAGGAGTTCCGGTCTCAACTAAGTTTGGTCGTCTTCGATTGAGAAACTCTGGCCAAGGAGCTTGAAAAGGCCAAGTCGGTAGCCGTTGCGGTTAAAGTCGATGGCGATGAGATGGTGGCCCAATATAAGGCCGATGCCGAGGCGGCTCAGGATCAAGCGAAGGATATGGTCGAGCACGCAAAACGGCAATCCCTAAAGGAGGCCTTCGAGGAAATTCATGCTCGGGGTTTCAACTTGTCGGCTGAAATTGAGAGTGCTAAGGGGCTCGAAGCCGAGGCCAAGAAGTTGGTTATACTGAGGATGATGAAGACTCTGAGGGTTTGAGAAGATCCGAGGGTAGAGGATACCCCAAAGGTTTTGGTGATGAGGTGGTCCCTCGCGAAGACTAGGCCACTTAGGCGCTTCACAGATGTTTTTATTTTTCTGCTTTTTGTATTACCTTCTTTTTTTATTGAGGCCGTTTGGCCTTTGTAAAAATTTATATCAAGGCTGTTTGGCCCTTGTAAAAAATCTTTTGATATGTATATAAGGCTTTTTTCCATTCAACAATTTATATGTTTCTCCTTTGCTTTATTTTATATTTGCAAAGATTGAAATGCCTTAGCATGAAATAGTTAGGTTACGTTCGGAGGTTCGAACAGGCCTTGCCTTCAACATTATTTTGTTTAAGGCATCATAGGGGTTCCGTGTGACTGGAAAATTTTCCCCAAAGTACTTATAATTTTTTAGATTATAGTTTGTTCAGGGTAGCCTTTAGAACCGATTAAGAAATTTTAAGGCCTTGTTGTTTTTGTTACGGATCTCGGACATCTCTGAACCGTTTCAATAGGGTCGTAGCCTTTTTATTTCTGGTGTTGCCCAGTGGGCTTTTTATCCCAAGTTATTCGGGCTTGCCCAAGATATAAGTCTCCAAGTGGGGATGACCGTAGCCTTTAAAGTTCGGGCGCTGCCAATAGGTCTTTCCTCCCGGGCTTTGATAGCCAGGGCGGCCCGAGTTTGTCTTTGGACGGTAGTCCCCGAGGCGGAGTGATCTTTTGAACTCGGATTAAGGTGGCCCTTGGGCTCGATACCTTTTAGGGATCGGATGTAGGAAATTCCTTAAGAAATGATTTTTTTTAAAGGACAAGATATTTATCAGCAAGGTAGAGACTTCCTTTTATTCTTGTGCTTAATAGTTACACATGTGTACAAGCTTTGTGCCAAGGCTCGAGTAGTCTATGCGGGCACATTTCATATGATCGTTTGGCCCTTACAGTAAATCCTATCGATCGAGCCGAGACCGTTCAATCACAAAGTCTCCGTCCTTTTTAAAGTCGTTATCCGAGGGTAATGCTCCCCAGTATCCTAGGTTGATCATGGAGATTGACTCTCAGATAGTAGCCAATATGTTCATTGTTAGGAACACCGACAACATTCATCTTAAAGGCCTAATTGAAGACATTACTAGGCTCATAAACCATGTCGAAGTTAACATTACACACTGCTTCAGAGAAGCAAACCAAGTGGTTGATAAATTGGCAAAAAATGCAACAAAAAGCGGGAACAATAGCTATTACTACACCTTCCAGCAGCTCCCAGGAAATGCTAAAGGACCTTTCCAACCGGATAAATTGCAACTACCTAGTTTTAGAATTAGTTATGATAAAGCCATTTTTTGTAAGTTGATGTTCATTCTTTTGTAGATATGAGAGGCAGGATATATTTTCATTGCCTTGCCTTTCATATCGTTTTCTCAAGAGGTAAGGTCCATGTCCCCTTCCATTGTACGTAATCCTTTTTTGTCGGAATAGACATGGTAAGGGTCTCACCAAACCCCCAACACTCCAGGTAATGAGAACCTGGGTGTTTGGCTTTAATAAAAAATAAAAAAAAACAACCTTGGGGGGTTGACCACTTTTTAACAAGATGCACTTCGATCAATATCAAGACACAGTTGAATAAAAGCTTAAAGAGAAAAATAACAGTGTATTGCTTCTGAGTGCGTGTTACAATGTCTCTAAATGAATTATCAGACCCCCTTTATATAACATATGAGTCCTACTTTAGGTGCAATTCTATAAAAGGTAAAAATATCTCTTGATTTACTGATTGCCAGTCCCTCATTGATACGTGCCGAGATTTTCGCCGTAATATCCAACCGGTCACAAATATTTCGGTCTTTTGTTGGTTACGCTAACAATGTTTCTTCGAGCTCGTCGGGGATCAGGGTCGATTCCGGGATCACGTACTCAATATTCCCGAAGACATACATTTTGACTTTGGGCTCTGGTCCGGTGGGACTTGGGGACTGAGGTCGATCTTCAGTCCCTCATGTTCCGAGCCCAATCTACCATGTCATAGACGAGCCCGATTTCGTATACATCTATAATCATAGACATCCTCTTCCATTTGAGTCGATTGATGATCATCTTTTGACATCCACTTTCACTCAAGTGTATCTATTTTAAATTTATTACGCAATCTATCAGATAAGTTAAAAAGGGTTCAATATATTCGTTAAAACTGATGGACCACCCATCATGATCAAGTGGTAGTATCAACATAATTATTACGTACTTCACAAGGTATTGAGAAAATGAAGACTACAATTTAGACCAAATAAAGCTCACGTTTGATAAATGAAGATAGCTACTGTGAGAGATTCTTGTAATTTAGAAAAGAAAAAGTTACGACTTCACCAACTGCTTTAGCCTAGTTATTCAACTACTTTAATTTCCTCTTTTATTTCTTTACTAGTTATTTTTATTTGGTTTAATTTCTTGAAAGAGTATTACTGATTCAATCATCGGAGAAATTAAATGGTGAGTAGAAAGTGAAGGAAATATTTTTCTTTTGCTTGTTTGATTGAACATAAAAAAAAAAGGCAAAATACATAAACGACTCTTTAAACATGTCAATTTCTTTTCGTATTGACATTTAAATCAAAGGTAGTACCTATTGAACATAAATTGTATGATCAATTCTTTTCACAATATTAACTCTCTCTGTCTTTAATTATTTCGCTATCTTCCCTAATATTGTCTATTACGTACAATACAAGATATATAATTGCGCCCACACGAAAATATATAAGTTCACATGCATAGCACACTCCATAATTAATAAATTTACATAGAAAGCAGGTGATGATCATTTAATTTGCCCTTAAGTTGAAGGAACTTCTTAGGTGAGTAGAGTCTGAATAATTGAAAGGCAGAAAGTGAAGAGACCACAACCAATACAAGGACAGCAGCATAGCCACATAATAAAGCACCTCCAATTTGGATACAAAACCTTGTGAATCTATTGCACAATTTCATCCATTGCAAACTTCTCACTCCAGCCAATGCTATTGCTGATGCTTCAACTGCTGCTGATTGTGCTGCAAATACTGTGTATACAGCTGCCTGGAAAAAAATATATAGACATGCCAAATTAGGTAGAGTACTTTTAACTTTTTGACACTCCAATAGTTTCGAGCCGCGGAAACAGTCATTAATGATTGTATTAGGGTGACAATGAGTTCGAGCCGTGGAAATAATCACTAATGCTTGCATTATGATAGACTGTCTACATCACATCCTTTGACGTGCAGGAGTCCTTTCTGGGACCCTGCGTGGATATGTGATATTTTATGCACTAGACTGGATAATGTTTTGACACTGAACAATGGGTTACGTTCGAGCCGTGAAAACAGTCACTAATGCTTGCATTAGGGTAGACTGTCTACATCACACCCTTTGAGGTACGACCCTTTCCAGGGACCTGCATGAATATGCTCGGTGGCAGATGAAGCATCTCCCCTGAGGGGGTTCAAAAAAGAAAAAAAATTCGAAAATTAGAAGAAATTATAGCAAGTGGGACTTAAACTAGTGACTTCACAAAGGTTTTGAACCTCCTTGACCATTGGGCTATGCTTTTGGGTTGTGTCATGGGAATTCAAAATATAATATAGAGGTAAAAAATAAATAAATTTGTCTTATATGTACAGTGTAATTTTTCGGCGAAGGAGATTCACACTCCATCCGCCCCCCTAAATTTCCCCCTAAATATGAGATATTTTATGCACCGGACTACCCTTTTGATCAAATTGTTTGAGGATTAACTTTATGTAACCGTCTATACTATAGCGAGAAGCAATTTGGAAAAAAACTACTATGAGAGGTTAAATATATAAATATTATAACTATTTTATACACTGACAGAGTATATAACTTAAGTGGTTGGTTGGCTGCAGGATTGAAAAATTCATATTCGTATATAATCTTGCATAAGATAATATTATGTTTGGTTCGGGGGATTAGAAAAATAATTCATGCAATTAATTTATGTAGCGTTTGGTTTGTTGAAAGAAAAAATATTTCCTGTGTAATTATATATATATANCAAACCAGTGATGCAGGAGACAAAAGAAGAAGAAAAACGAAGCAATTAATTGCTCTAGGTTACAGCATTAAATAACATTAATATCTCAACTACTTTAGCTTTTAAAGCAACAACGTGGAGCATGCTTATCAATGAACTAAATCACCTAACTAGTTCCAACTCTCATTTTCCTTTATGTTTTCATTGATCTGTTCAGTAGAATAAATTAACTTCTTTTGAAAATTTGACATTCTATTTTGTGTGAAATCAACAGTATCAATAACCCCATTTTGTATATCTCTTTTTTTAACGACAACAACAATAAATCCAGTATAGGATCAGTGGCGGAGGTAAAATTTTATTAAGACGTGTCAAAATGTATAAAAGTAAACACACGAAAAAGTTAAGGGTGTCAACATATAGTAATATACACAGTGAAATTTTTTGGACGAAGGGGTATCAATTGAAACCCGTTTGGATAAGGTGGCTTCACCACCGGATGAGATTTGGGGAGGATAGTCTCTACGCAAACCTTATCCCTACCTAATGCAGGCAGAAAGATTTCCAATAAACCTTGTATATCTCTTCTTTTACCGTTTAATAATATTATACGGAGGAAGAACAAATTACAATAACATACTCAATGTAATCTCATAAGTGGGGTCTGAGGATGGTATTGTGTATGCAGACCTTATCCCTACCTTATGAAGGTAGAGATGGCGTTTCCGATAAACCCTCGACTCAAAAAAAGTAAAATTACGGTAGCGTTGAAAAAGAAATATGGTAATGAATAAGCCATGAAAAAGAAAGCAGTAGCCACATCCAAAAAAATCAAGATAACTGAAGCAAAGAAACACCAAATAAAAATAAAATTAATTAAGAAAAAGGAACATCTTTTAAAATAAGTCTAGTTTCTAGAGAATTACCTGATCTAAGAAGAAAAACAACCAATAGTTCTTGTAAGACCTTTGTTTAACATCTCCCTTTGCAGTAGTAGGAATGAGGAAACATCTTAACACATGGAGTACATTATAACTGGCAACAGCAGCATCAATCCATACCAAAAAACTATATATAAAACAAAAAATTGACTTTAGTTACAATTAGCACATAGTGGGGTAGGAAAGAGAAAAAAGAATACAAGAAAATTGATGTAATTTAATGTTTCAAAGTATGACATATTTCCCTTTTTAGTTTGAAAAGAATGGCACACTACTAAATTTAGAAATAATTAATTTTACGTTTCTTATTTCGCCTTTACATAAAAAAATTTATAACCACGTAAATACTATGACATGTAAGGTCACAAGTTTTAAAATTTTGTATCGGCATGTTATGGTATATTTAAGACCATAGTCTATCTCGAAAGTCTCCATTTCTCTAAAAGCCCGTCGATTTCAACTATGCCACATAAATTAGAACAAATGAAATAATGTTACGTATTGGTCCATATTCGATGCACATATCAGAGATTGAGATAATAAACAATATACTCTTATACAACCAGACATCTCTATAGCAGCATCTCTATATAACAATATTTCACTATAAAAGTTAAGTTTTTCCGGAACCAATTTTCATGCTGTGTTATAATATATATTCTGTATAACAGCACTTCGCTATAATATCCAAAAATATTTGGAACAAATAAGGTTGTTATAGAGAGGTTTGACGGTATATAAGGTACATATGCTGCACAAAACCTTTTGAAGGAAAAAAAGGTTGAGCTAGAGCAACGTACTTAAGTATATGTTTTTCTTTACTAAAAGAAAAAAATTATTCTATATTCATGCAGAGTTCGGGGAAGGGCCGCACCCTTAAGGGTGTAATATATACAACCTACCCTAGAGTAATATTAATGGTTATTTTCACGGCTTGAACTCGTGACCTATAGAACACACGAAAACAACTTTACCGTTGCTCAAAAGTGTCCTTCCATTACATAAATGTAACATTTTTTGCAGAAGATGTAATAGTCTTCAAGTAACAAAAAAGAAGTTCAAATGGAGGAGAAAGAATTAATAATAGAAACTCACAACAAGGCATCCATATCATTGAAGCTGGCTTTTCTTTCAACTGTGTCAAAAAGGAGTTTAGTTTGAGAATCAAATCCCATTAAACAAGCAGTCAAAACCAAGAATACAATCGCAAATAGCCTCAAGAAACCCTCTTTTCTCACAATATCCATATTATGATCCTTTTCACTGCTGTTCTGTAGCTGTCTTCCTCGTTTCGTCTTCGGCTTTCAGAGTTGTGAACTAACTGAATAGAAGAGATAATGGCAAAGTTAACATGCATTTATAAAACTTATTTTGCATCTTCATGTAATTTTCAAAATCATTAATGCTTTGATTTTGTTAGTTGTGGGCTTGTGGCTGTAGGGGTTGGGGGAGGGAGTTTCTGGTTTGTAAATGGTACACGTGAAGAGGGGGACCTTATGTGATAATGCAATTTCAATTTTCAAAGGGTTCATGCTTTATTCATATAGGATATGGATTAGAACTACCACAATTTAATTATATCTTGTATATTGTGGGTACTCACGACAATTTTTTTTTTAATTAAGGAGAATTTTTGAAGCAATGATAAAGTTGTTTGAGTCCAGAGACGGATCTATGTTGCGGTCCTATAAGTTACGGGTTCGAGCGTAGAGACAGACTTACATTGCGGACCTATAGGTTACGGATTGGAGAATCGAACCGTGAAAGCAACAATTAATGCTTGCATTAGGATAAACTGTCTACATCATAGTTCTTGGAGTGCAGTTTTTCCCCGAGCTCTGCATGAATGTGGAATATCTTATGTACTAGTCATGATAATTTTTTAAAAATATATATTCGAATGAGTATTAAATTGTAGAAATAATCTGGTTCATTTTATTTGTATTTGGGATTTTATATGATTTCATGCAACCACAACTTTTTGGGTTGCAGTTTATTTATCGAAAAAGGGTCAAATATAGCCTTGTACTATCAAAAAAGGTTTAAATATACTTTCCGCTATACTTTAAGCCAAAATATACCCCTGTTGTTATACAATTGGCCGGTTTAAATATATATACCCCCTTTTCGTTAAGTTTGTCCAAAATGGACATTCAATCCTACGTGGCACTGATATTTGATGAGGTGGATGTCATGTGGCTTGCCACCTCAGCACCCCTAACCTATTTTACTCCTCCATTCTATTTTTTTTCCACCACTAAAATTTCCTTCCCCTCCACCATTGTTGCCACCATTACCGCTACCATGAAATATTTTAAATTTTAGTTTTTTATATATAGATTAGGGTCGCTGAGGTGACATGCATTGTAGCATCTAGCTCATCAAATATCAGTGCGACGTAGGATTGAATGTCCATCTTGGAAAAACTTAATAAAATAGGGCTATATTTGAACCAATAGTATTACGCTAGAGATATATTTGGACCCAAATATTTAAACCTTTTCTTATAATATAGGGGTATATTTGACCTTTTACCGTTTATTTATGGACCGAAAGAAGTCTATAGAGTCCTTGGCTAAAACCTATTTATATAGGACGACTGTACGAAACTGCGTCCTAGGCTAGACTCTTGCCCTTTATTGATAATAATTAAATTTCATTAAAGAAAATTTGAAAAATAAAAGTGAAGTAGCATACCAAATTACTCACTGAATAATTGAATATGAGAGAGGAAACAAATATCCTCTTTACATAAACATATAGTATACCTTTTTATAATTTATGTATGTTGTTTAAGGACAAAAGTTTTGAAAAAATTATTTTTGAAATTCATGGTCTAAAATAAGTCAAATATTTATATTACTATAAATCAACTCCCTAAAAGTGGAATGAGAAATTTAAAATTTTAAAATATAAAAACAGTGTCTAAAAGAAATCATCATAAAGCAGTGTAAAAGAAATCAAATCTATATATCTATATAAAGCGGGAATGACAACAATGGTGTGGCATATCTCTAATGCCAAGAAATCTATTTGTAATTTTCTCCTTATTATTTATATACAACTCAATTCAACTTAGGTTTAAAAAAGAAGAAGTTACAACCGTTACAAAAAGTCACATACTTAAAAAAGTGGGAAGCAACCCCCACTTCCAACCGAGAGGTTGTGAGTTCGAGTCTCCCCAAAAGCAAGGTGGGAAGTTCTTGGAGGGAAGGATACCGCGGGTCTATTTGGAAACAGTCTCTCTACCCTAGGGTAGGGGTAAGGTCTGCGTACACACTACCCTCCCCAGACCCCACGGATTGTTGTTGTTGTTGTTGTATAGTAGTTGTTTCTTCTTTTTCTCTCTTAATCTGTTTATTTGAATTTTATATTGTCTCCCTCAGAATATGCTTACAATTCTCTTGGTACTCACTCAGGATATGCTTCATTTTCTTCCTAAAAGTGAATAAAAACGGTTATAGAGTTAAAATGCACGTAGAATCAAAATGTTCTAAAATCAGATAATAGGCCAATAATAACAGTTGAGTGACTGTGCTAGAACCACGGAACTCGAGAATGCCTAACACCTTCTCCCGGGTTAACAGAATTCCTTATCCGAATTTCTGGATCGCGGACTGTAATACAGAGTCAATCTTTTCCTCGATTCGGGATTTTTTTATCGGGTTGATGCGGTTTGTCGGTTTCCTTTGTACACCCCTACGAGACACATGCAAATGGTTCCTATTTTGTCTTTTATTTTCCAGGACAAAGATGAAGCTACTATATCAATTATGAACTTCTGTAAGATAAGAATGTTGAAAGAAGCAACTAAGCAAGTCATTACTTGGGATGAGAATAGCAAAAGGTTCTGCTTTAATTTACCCCACTTTGGGCGAGAATAGAAGCAGATGCAAAGCAATTTCTTGATCAATTTTTAGCTGATTAAGATTATGGTGTTTACGCAGGAATTCTTCTCCTATTCATAGTAGGATCTCTCAAGTTTACTATGGCTTCAGTTCAAGCCTTATAATTAAGATTGCTGTATATATATATNCAATTTTTGGTATTTTTTTAATATCATGTAAAATTCACCAGTAGAAGTAGAATCGCAATAACATTCGTTCTTTTATAGGACTTAGCAAAACTGTCTAGACATTTTTACTGTTTAAAGGGTGATGAATTAAAAAAAATAGCTATAGTATAGATCCATCAACTATTCTGCAACATCGTAAAAGAAATTAAACAAAGGCAAAGAAAATATAATCACACGAGTTGAAAGATATACCAAGTTGGGACTCAAGAATAAAGTCAATAGAAGATTAAATATTCAAAAAGATAAATCTAAATTATATGAAAGGAAACATATTCAATACATGGTAGTTTGCTACTCATAATCGCTAGAATACTTTGTAACTTGCTAATAAAGATACTTGAAATAACTTAGTTTAAGTAGAAGTAGCATAATAGGTTTCAGGAATTAGTATTTTGAGTTTAATTACTTGTTGGCTTGTAATAGTTTTCATAATTCCAAGGCTCAAAGAAAATTTAATGCATTATTATTTTTAAACTTACTAAATAAATATATTTTCTACATGTAAAATTTATTCGGTACGGTTCGATTTTTTTCGGTTTATTTTTATAAAATAAAAAACCTACCCTAATTATCGGTGCGATTATAAATTTATATAAAAATCTACGATTTCTTAAAAAGAAATCTAAAAATTGATTAGGTACGATACGGTACGGTTCGGTCGGTTTGATCGGTTTTCGAATATTCATTGACACCCCTATAAAGAATTCAAAACACCACATATGTTCTGTTTTAGGGATTAATGATGATCAACAACCAACAATAATTATTTTTCTACTTTTATTACAAGTACATAAAATTTGTCTCTTATACCTAACTTCATATCTTAATTTTGCTAACTTCTTTTATTACCGCACGACAATGAGATCCAACCAGATAAAATTAAGGACAACATTAATTATGCACTATGAGGTTTTAATTAACAAAATTTTTGATATGTAATTATTGTGTTTAGCGCATTTAACTCGATCCCTCAATACTGTCACCTTCTGCGGCAGGGACGGGTTAAGGGGCGGAAGATTGTTCACCCAAACTTCTTCGCCGGAAAATTACACTGCACATATAATGCAAAATTTGATTTGTACCTGTATATATTTTATTTTGTATTCATATAACACAACTCAAAAGCATAGTTTAATGGTCGGGGGGGGGGGGGGGGGTTAAA